TTTCTTTCTCTGTCACCTAAGCTCTTTTAAATCCTATTCTTAGCCAAAGCTGCCCAAGTTCTGTCATTTGGCCTCCCTAGTGTGAGCATGCTCAGGATTCATTAGAGATCATTGTGAACTCTGACACACTAGGATTTGGTCCCTAATCCCTCCTCTGAATTATTCTTGTTAACTACCCTAGTGTGAGCACTGCCCTGGGTTCTTGAAGCCCTTGGAAATTCAAACACACTAGGGCCTTGGTTCTATATGCTCAACTCTATCTTGTGCTCACTGGGTGAATCATTCAATTCATGGCTGCTGTATGTCTATGAGTGTAACTTGGAGACTATTGTGATTGGTGAGAATAAAGGCCAGGCCTGTCCAGGTGTATTTTGGGCCGGCTGTAGGCTCCCTATAGTTNGGGATATGGTCCCTAATCCCTCCTCTGAACTATTCTTGTTAACCACCCTAGTGTGAGCACTACCCTGGGTTCTTGAAGCCCTTGGAAACTCTGACACACTAGGGTCTTGGTTCTATATGCTCAACTCTATCTTGTGCTCACTAGGTGAATCATTCAACTCCTGGCTGCTGTATGTCTATGAGTGTGTAACTTGGAGACTTTTATGATTTGTGAGAATAAAGGCCAGGCATGTCCAGGTGTATTTTGGGCCTGCTGTAGGCTACCTATAGTTATTCTCCTATGTAATTCATGCTATTCATTCTGGGTCTGTAATAATTATTGTAATAACATTTGGGGTATTAGTGAAATTAGGAAAGGGATTTTTATCTTATATTTGCAATAAATGGGGTAGAAATCCTGCCTATAGGTTCAATAATATGTGTTTAGTTATTGTGTGTTAGAAATCATGCATATAGGTATCCTATTATGTTCAATCATTATATGTTAGCAATCCTGCCTATGGTTTCAATACTTGGTTCAATTGTGTTCTATTTCTGCTTATCAAAAACCATGCATATAGGGAATTGTATGATTCAATATGCGTTTACATGCTGCCCTATTTCAAAAATTGTAGAGACCATGTATATAGGATCTAAAATCGGATTAAATTGTAGAAAGCATGCCTATAGGTCCGAATCAGTTTAATTATCATCTTGCTCGTTTATTCAGGAGTTCTCGACACTGTGTCATTATTATCACTAGACAATATGCCTGTAGGACTAAATAAGTAATTCTGAATATCCTTACGTGATTACCATGATTTATTATTGAGTAGAACACCTAGACATCATGTATATAGGTTTAATCCCCTTATGCTTAAAATCAGTAGGAAAATTATGTAAATTTCTGAAAATCGTATTTAGGAAATGGCTTTTGCGTGTAGCTGTCTGCTCATTAACTTGGTATCACATAGAGATCCTGCCTATAGGATTCTGCAACCTTAACTCATTAAAATCTGTCAATGTTAATCAGTTTGGCGTGCATTTGTTGTCTAAATGCGGAGGCTAACTTGAGCCCTTATTTGCTTATATGTGAAAGTCCTAAATGTTTTGTTTGTCGCCTAGTATTTTTTCTTTTGAGCAACCTAAGTTAAGGTCTAGAACCACCCTGAAATAGAGGTCCAAATGCCTCCTGGACTATAGGCATGGGACGGGTAGTACACACATAGAGTACTACAACTTAGAATTAACTAGTGCGCTTTAGGTAAATAACTTAAAGATAGTAATCAAGTAGCAGGATATGATAGTCTGTGCCCGCTGAATAATATGAGTAACACCCCATCTTGAGAGAGTTACGAAGTATTATTTATGTTGCACGGGGTGATCCTTTAGGCTAAAAAACTTAGGACTCCCCCTCCCCACACACCTCTGTTTAAAGTCAATCATTTTATTTGCCCAAATTGCTTCCCTTCTCTTAGACTAATTCATATAATTCGAGTTCGGCTGGGACGCACAGAAAAGCCCTGCAGCAAGAGTAGTCGACCACCAAGCAGACCTCACTGCAGTAGAAGGAACAGAAGCGGCCTTCCTCTTACGGAATGCCATAGCAGGATCTTTCTGCCTTCTCGAAGGTCCCCGGGCTAAAAAAGAAAAATTAGAAGATCGTCACTTCCCGCACAAAACTGCGACGAGCAGACAACCACGAGGTCGAAACAGTATAGACAAGATAATTATGCATGCATAAATAAATACATATAGATGAACTCACCGGTCGTAGAAGGTGCATGCCTAAATTTCTTGATAAAAGCTGGCCATTCACGAATCCCTACTCTGTGAGGCAAGACCTAGCTGACCCAGTCATGAATGTCCCCGACCAAGGGAGGGGGTGAAGTCTCAACTGCACGAAGAAGGATGAAATGTTAGACTACGACTAAAATAGGCAAAATAAATGCTTGGCAAAAGGATACTTACGGGCATAATTCCAAGCCTCGGGGAACCCGCTTGCTTTGGCTATCACATCCTCGGTCTTGACGAAGAAACAGTTGAGCCAGAACTGACGATTTGTCTTATCGTCTATCTTCACCACCAAACATTTCCTTCCTCGGTGGCGAAGGTATAGCATCGTCCCCCTATAGAAACTAGGGGCGAAGAGATGCATCAGGTGGAGAAGTGATACCCTACTGCCAGCAAACTCTACATATTTCGTCAGTATACAGATAAACTTGTAGATATAGGGGGAGAGCTGGGTCGGGCAGACGCCGTAGTAGCGGCAAAATTCCTCTGCCAGCGAGAGAAGAGGAAAAGAATAGCCCACGTAGTACGGATACACATAAAATGCGCAATACCTTGGGTGATGTATCTGTACAATATCGTGCCCCACCGGAACCAGATCGATGTCAGCCGGAATTTTGAACTTTTCCTAAATGCAGCGAGGTCAACCTCGTTCATCATCGACTCCGAGACCTCAGGGTTGTCTTCGGGCAACTTCGAAAAGTCAGATCTAATCTTTTCACTGCGAGAAATTATTTTCTCCACCGTAGGGAACCCCTCATCTTCAAGGGCAACGGAAACACCGTCGCCATGAGGAGACACGTGCATCACCAAAGGGGTAGGGTCAAGCGCCATACTAGAAACAAAGGGTGAGTTAACCATATTCTCGAGAGAAGATATCTTACGCACAGAAAAGTCGAGAACAACTGAAATCACTGGAACCGAGGGAGTGGATACACAGTGACGAAGCAAGAAGGAGACAAGGTTTTGATATGGAGAATGAAGAAAGGGACACATGGATTCGATAAATGCAAGTATGCAAAACAAACACAAGGGACCTCAGGTCCATATTTATAAGATTTCAGGCACCAAGACCTAGAAATCAAGCCATCATTGCACAACGCAGATATCGAAACTGCAGAGGTACGGGAAACAATGCAGGGCATCGATAAAGCGCGCCACAGTGACGTATGATGTCATGACGTCATTCTGAAACAACGTATCCCCAAAGTTTACAGATCATGAAAAGTCATGTCGCCACCTCGCCTAAAGCGCCGCTACCCAACTTGCTCGCCTCGTTTAGTCAACTGCGACATATAGAGTCCTCTCATCAAGGCCGTCTGAGATCGACCATAATAAGCGGAGGGACTAACTGTATAGGCCAAAATCCGTCTTCAGAATATCTAGCGTAATATGTCGTTAGAGAAAGTTATCGGTCAAGCTCGCCCAAGATGTCGACGGTTATTGCAATCAAAATATCAGCAAGGGTCGAGGTCGAGATCGACTGTTGATGATAAGGCTTGCAACGACAAATTTGTCAAAATAGGGTATTAAAAGGGAATATTTTAGTGAATATTCCTTGCATTTGTACTATTAGGGTTTCGTAGAAAAAAATGACCCATATATATATAGAAAGAAGAGACAATGATAGGGGCATGTAAGATTGATTCTGATAAGAACACTTTTGAGAAGAAGACTTTCCCTCTGGCAAAAATATAAAGATTGCCTTTTTATAAATATTCTTGTTCATATTGTTCCCCATTTTTCTATCAGATCTGATGACTATTCATGTGAATCTTGGATCTATCTGTCATTCATCATTGTCTGGCAAAATATTCGTCCAACTCATCCATTATTGGGTAAATCATTCTCTTTATTTACTTAAATGTCATTTATTGACATTTATTGTTGGCTATATCTCCCTTAATGTTCTTGCTTTAAGAGTATTTAATATTTATTTCCATCAACCACATACGAAATATGTCCCATCTAATATACGTCTTTGTGCTTTATATTTAGAATTATTATCCTTAATTAGATTTAACCTTTCATTATATAAATTTAATAATTTAACCGAAAATTATATTTTTTGGTCAAACAAGAGTGCTGACTAATAAAAGACTAAATCAAGACCAGATTCAAATTCCATTTAGTATCTAAATTGTTGTTCAAAGCCGAAGGGCAAATTACAACGAATTTTAAAAACATGAATTGTGATTAGGGGTGGGCGTTCGGTATTTCGGTACAGTATTTCGGTATTCGGTATATCGATTGTGCATACCAAATACCGTATCAAAGTAGTTCGGTACGGTTCGGTATTTTCTTATTTAGTTCGGTACAGTTTCGGTATGGTTTCGGTATTATACCAAAATCTTTCAAATCTCCCAAGATTATGCTATGCCTAATTGCCTATTGCCTAACATATCTTATGACTTCTGCTGAGAATTCAACCACTCAAAGGAAAACTCAATACCAAATACCGTACCGAAATACCGAAATTTCTGTACCGAAGTATACCGAAATATCGAAAAAATCGAAATCGAAATATCAACTTAATTCGGTTCAGTTCGGAATTTAATTTTTCGGATTTTATGCCCACCCCTAATTGTGATGCAATCAAACACTAGTATATATTAACAAGTGACAATAATTTGAGGCGAGTAGACCATATATTTTTTTATGAAGGTCGACAAAGGCCAGAAAATGAGAAAAGTGTATTAATTCTAGTGGCAATATTAGAAACCTAAGTCATAGCCTTCTATGAAAGGCGTGGAAGTTTATAATAGTACTATATTATATACTGCAGCTAGCTAGTATTACCATATTTCTGCAAAAATTGCAGCACATAATTGATGCATTATTGCCCTTACTCCACCATAACTAAGACACTACTAGTAATAAGAAATTAGAAACGGGAATAAACAGTAAAGTGGTCGGGGAATTTTCATATATTCGCCAACTTTATGGGATTCTCAATATCATTTTCTACTTCCACGCCCATTATTAACGTATCCAAATTAAAGCTCCTCCTTCTTAACCTACTTTTCTTCACTCTTCTTTCTCTTCCGTAAGCTTCTCTAGCTGAAGGCTAAATACAGAGAGAAGCAAAACAGGAAACGAACAAGAAACTAAAGATGAAGGATTGGGCAGCTCCGATCATAGCGACGGCGTTATTTGCGTTTCTATGTCCAGGACTAATATTTCAGATGCCAGGGAACAATAGGCCTGTTGATTTCATGAATATGAAGACCACCTTCGTTTCTATGTTGCTTCACACTGTTTTCTTTGGTTTGTTTCTTATTCTCTTCCTCGTTATTCTCAATATACATCTCTATGCTTAGCTACCAAGAAAACATATACCGTAGATGAGAGATGCTCCACCAATATTTCATTAATTTACGACTTTGCTAGTTTTTGATATTCAAGGTAATTCGGCTTTATTTCAGAGTCGTAAGAATTACAATCTGTAGGAGCTTCTTTTGCAAATTCTACTTTGGTATTCTGATTGTGGTTTTTGATTGAATCTCATAAGACCAATTTGTTTGATTTTCCAAACAACTAAAGTCACATATTACTACCTGCTTTTTCCTTTGGATTCAATTCTCATGTTGTTTATCTAATGGTTACCATTCTGTTTCATTTCCGTTTCTTTTACTTTTTGTTTCTCAAGTCTCAACCAGCTATAATTCAGTCAAAGAGAGAGGATGGGTTGACTCAATTATTGGTGCCTTTAATATTATTGAATTCAATAGTTTAATAATTAGAATCCTCCCGCTCTAAAGAGATAGATGCCAAAGTTAATCCTTTGATAAATTGCAAATTAGCAATCACTCTATTTTAGGTGAAAAAATAAACAACCGCAAATAATTGATTTAACACATCAAAATTTGCAACTGAATGATTCTGATTTTGGAGATGCATATGCAATTCAACAAGCAGAAATTGCCACTATGGCCCCACACAAGAATCAACATCACATGGTGTATTCCACTTGTATTTATAGGTAACTAGGAGTACGAGAAAAGATTACTAGCATTATTAATAATAACAGACTAGTAAAAGAAGAAAAAAGAGCATTTTATTTATAACCAGAGCTTTCCCAACCGATGATACATCACATCAAATCGTAAAAGATTGAATTGAAATTTGAATGCTAAAAAAGAGAAACAAAAGCAAAAAACATGCATGACAAATGACAACCAAACATGACAAACCCAAAAAAGGTAAAAAAGTAAAATGGCCGTCCGTGATAACTAGGATTCCAGTAAAGAGTTAAGAACCCGTATACAAATGGATCCCAATTGCTAATAAGAAGATGCAAATGAGGGCGAAGTACACAATTGAGTGAACCAGTATGGACACTCCACTAGTCTGAAAGTTGCTAAACTCAACAACTCGATTGCGACCTGGTACCTGAATCAGCAAACCTGGCGTTAACAGTACGAAAAGCACCACCGCCACAAACACCGGACCCCAATCGGACATCTTTGCTTCACTCACCAAACGGTGTATGTCCTCTCCCCTTTTGGATTCGCTTAAGCACAACCACTAGTAAATACTATCAAAAAGGTATAGTTAGGAGACTTTATTAGTCTATCGACCCCTCAATTCCCAAGAGACTAGATGATCTCAAAGTTTTTTGAAGCCTTGTTAGAGTAGTATGCTTTACATATACACTGGTGCTTTCTCTCTTCTTCTCATACAGGGCATGCTGTATACACTACTACAGGGTTCCTCTTATAACGATGGAATTTACACAAGAGAAGAGAGCTGGAGTAGAATGGAGTAAGCTAGGGGGAAACAGAACGTTACCCAATGAAGGTATTCGGATTCACACTTTATCCTTTGCTTATAGTAGGATTGCTGCTTTTGATGTTCAGAAGCACAAAGTAGGTTGCTTACGAGATCAACATTCTGATTCTCCCGACCGACCCCCAAACTCCCACAAGATACATTCAAGATAAATTCTTTCATCTTATTTTCCTCAAGACAATGTTATCCTACCTTATTTCTTTAGATGACGAAACGAATGGTTACGTCTTCCCTAAAACAAAAACTACGAATACGTTACACTAGATAATTTGGCACTTTGACAGCATAAAATGCGGACTACATAGCATTGCGCCTGAGTCGACAAATTCAACAATTATGCTCCTTTAACAAAATTGTATAAATTGAGCTGGATGAAATTTTGCAACACGAGTTGCTTGTGCTTAAACGCGTACAAAACAAACATATCCAATTCACCCTTTCTACTTGGTGCAATTTTGAAAAGATAGCGTTTCCACTCTTTACCTCACATGGTACAAAATCTCTCGCAAAACTATTTTTCTCTCAGTATACAAAACTTGTTATCGCGTTTAACTGTCAAAGGCGGCAATGCAAACAAAAAAAAAACATGATAAGAACATCCATAAGAGAGTTCAGACACAGAAATTGAGACTTAGAAGCAGCAATTATTAAAGCATATAATATCTCGCAACAAGGAAGAGCTCATTTGCTTTTTAATAAAGTTTAATCCGTTGATCACTCAACAAACTACTAGTAAACCAGTCTCTTACTGGCTGAGATATCCAATAGAAGCAATATCTTTCAAACTCTTAGAATATAATCAGTAAACTTGTTCAGTTCCGAAGAAATCAATCAAGGAAACACGAACAAGGGACAATTCAACCCAGTACCCTTCATGCATAGTTCAACCGGAAAATGTCATTCATCACATAGAAACTCCCTTGTTGTGTTGGCATCAAATGAAACATCTGCAGTCCAAGAAAGACAGGAAGAACTTAGAAATTTGAGTGTAAATAAGTTCTGAAACATTGTAGTCATCAAGGAACGCCGGACAAAGCATTTTGCACAGGCTTTAGTATCTGCAGTTTCTCACATATCCCCAGACAATGCAGCAGGGCTATTATCAGAAATAGAAATTCCGATTGGAAAAAATGAGGACTCGATTGTCAGTACTAAAAGTAATTCACAGAAACTTGTCACTTATCATTTTTTGGAATCATCAAGAAACAGAACGCTTTCAATGGTACGTTTGAATATTAGGGAAAGATGCGAGAAGCGGCAAACAAAAAGCAGGAGAAAGGAAAAGAAAATGCAAACGGAGTATTTGCCTATCTTCTCTTCTAATTGGTACGATGGCATCATATAATCTGTCTGTTCCAAGGATGAGGCCAAAGACCACCCATTCAACAATGAATGATGTTTCCTATAATAATAGACCTCTGCTCTATGACAACTAGGGAGGGAAACAATCAGGCAATGCTTCAGAAAACAAGTAATCAATCTGCTAAAGAATAGCTGATTCAATCAAAATAGAAAGCCAGACTTCATCAAAAAGAAAAATATTTAAGTGAAAAGCAAGATAAAGAAAATCAATACTCCTACGAGATATGACCAGAACAACACAACTCAATATTCCATTTACCAAGTACTATTGTACAGGGAAATCAAACATGCTCGAAGACATTCTAAAACTTATGCAATTAAACTTTTCTATACAATCTATAAGGATACAGATAATAAAGCAGTAGGTTGAAAGCCAGTAAAGCTACAAAAATAAGCCTCACAGGAATTGCAGGATAACACACGAAGCACCTTTTGGGTAACATATTGTTCTCTTCTTCCTCAAGTCAGCTACATATAAAGAACTTCGAGTTAAACAATTGCCTTGGACAGTGGCGGAGCCAAAATTTTCGTTAAGGGATGTCAAAATATATAAAAGTAAACATACCAGGAAATTAAGGGGAGTCAATATATAGTATATATACATATAATTTATTTTTTACCTATCTACACAGTGTATTTTTCCCCCGAAGGGGTGTCATTTGACACCATACCCCTTCCTATAAGGTGGCTCCGCCACTGGCCTTGGAAGTTTATTGTTTTCTTCTTCCCTAAGTTCTAAAACACAACCACTTACCCACTGCTTTATTTTCCCTGGACATTGGTGGTCACATACATGTCACGTTACTTTCACATTATCCAACAAATTTCACCAAAAATCATGATAACAGCCATTACACTTCAAATTACCTAATCAATAGTCTTTACCAATCCCAGCAGTATCTATATTCTAGTAAAGCTTATCTGCAGGATACTTTACAATGTTCACTCTAAACATATTATCTAGAAGAAATGTTATGACTACTATCAGACTATCACTAGCTCCTTTTTCCGAGTAAGTGTCAGACTATCACTAACATCAAGTAATTATATTGCAAAATTGTGGCTTATTATCCTATTTGGCATAATGGAACATATTTATCATTCTATTCGAATTCTAGATTGTCAAAAGAAGTTGGGTCGTCGTAAGGGTCCCTGAAACTTTATCAAAGACAAAAAGTGAAGGAAGCCATCACCGTATTTGAAATAGCTTCTGGCATATTTGGTACCCTTATCTTGGTTTTTCATGTATCACTGCTAACAGACTGGCTCCTATAAATAACATCAACTTAAACACTTCTTGCCTAAAAAATACTGCTGTTAAAATTTGGTTGAAAACACGTTCCTAGTCAACCAAGCAGAGGTGGATTTGACCTTTGAACTTTATGGGTTCTGGATTCTCGGACAACAACCTCAAGCGCTAGTAGCTGGCTTCTGAATTTAATTTTTTAAACATATTTAGTGATTTTTTACACATATACAAGATATAGGCCAAAGCTACTAGGTTCTACCGAAACGTATATTCAAGTCTACATGTGCAACTAACCATGAACTGGAAGGAGAAAAAGCCTTTCCAAAACCCTAAATATAAGCTTTGCTAACCCAAGCATACAACCATTGCTTTGGAAAAGAAATTTTGCTTTTTATAGTGCCGTTAGCAATTGTAAGTCCGAGTATCCTTAGACCAAACTATGGATACATTAGCAACAGGAAAAAAATTTAATTTTGGCATTACAAACAGAGAGAAGGCTGCATCAAAGAAAATATTCAAGATAATTCCCTCTATTTCAAGGGATTCAACCTGGTCTGCAGCAATAAACTGAGCAAGATTAGTTGTGCATATGTGAACGGAGGATCGTCATGGTGAATGATGATTCACGGAAAAACCAAAATTGATTTTCACAGATTTGTCGTGGCAGATGAAACACTTTATCAAGCAGGATTTTCTGGGTAAAATGATAATCCATTAAATTTCTCCTCATTTTGGTGGGTTGTGAGGAAGGAAGATGTTCCTTTCCCTTATAAAGGACTTGTCTAGTAAAGTGACGGGATTTCTGTCCAGTGTTTAACAGCCATTATTCAACTTGATGTTATTGAAAGGACCAAGCTTTAAAAGTGATTCATAAAGGACCAACTTACACTTACCATGATACTACAGTACCAAATATGCCAAAAACTCTTAGTTGCAATGGTGGAGATGAAAAAGGTTTTACAGTTGTCCCCTGTTTGTTTGTATTTTCACTTATGTTTTTCTTTTTACTGACAAGAGAAGCTTCGCATTTGCAGACTGCAGAATTTAATGTTGCATTTTCCAACTGTTCTTTATGTGAAAATTCGTTATGCCAAGACAATACTTCAAATAATTTTTTCAACTTCAACCAAATATTGTCCGAACTCCTACTTGGATCATTGAAGAGAAATGCAGCTAAATAATTTTTCAAAGATACACATACTATTCAATGAGACAAAAAAAAGCAAAAACAAAGAGAATGACTAAGGAAAAAAGAGCAACTAGACATGTGAGCATCAACAGAGTCCTAGCATAACAAAATTCACATTTAATAGTATATAGGACAAATATCTTGTTCCCAAAGGGATCTCCACAAGGTAGGGGTAAGGCTGCGTACACACTACCCTCCCCAGAACCTACTATGTGGGATTATATTGGGTTTTTTGTTGTTGTTGTTGTATCTTGCTCCCAAAGGGATTATTGAGTGGTCAAGGCATAAAAATAACAAGCTCGAGGTCTAAGGTTTAAATCCAAGTCACAACACTCAGTAAAAGCCTAACCCATCAACAACTAAAAAGCACTCAGTAAGAGCCTATTTCCTCCACAGTTGGTGGGCATATTACCGGGCACCTGCGTAGAGGCGCCCACATTTGAGGATTGTAGCAAGTTGTAGAGTGAATTAGTCGAGGTGCGCAAGCTAGTTCCAATACCACCATTTTGTAAACACACACACAGAGAGACATATATCCTGTCCAATTACAAGTCTGACATCTAGTAAACAACTTTAAAATTTTTTAAAAAAAAAACGATCAAGACATATAGACATGATCGGTGCTGCCACATTTTAATGTCAGAATACAAACGAAAATGCACGAAGAACTCATCTTCCCACTATTACATCCATCAAAGTCTGCAAACATACTTACGAGTTACCATCAAGGCCATAGCCCATACTACACGAATTTTGCTTATATCTTCACATAGAGCCATTGTATTATTAACATGTTAGCATAACTTGTCCCCCAGCAGTAAACCAAAAGTATATATATCACATGCCTATCTCCAAATTTTTAGAATCTCACTCCACAAAAGGTGAGGCGACTAANTTTTAGAATCTCACTCCACAAAAGGCGAGGCGACTAACATCATGAGATCCGAAATGCAGAGGCAGATACAGGATTTGCATTTATGAGTTCGAGTTCGGGATTCTGCCACAACTCATTTGATTCATTGGGTTCGAAATCAGTTATTGTACTATCTAGTGAATTCGAATGAACCCATACCTTAAACTTTACATGCGTCCCTACCCAAAGGGAAAGTCAACTGGTGTTCGAAAAAGGAAATCTAAATTCCATCCATTTTCGTTTGATAACTGATTTAAAAATTATACTATTACAGATTGTGAAATACATAAGTAGATCGCCGATTATAATAATTAAGCACATGGAACAGCAATAAAAGAGCACTTGGTAATGGGGAAAATACCTGACTGAACTTGAGGACGTGCTCTTCGCCGGGAAGTTGAAGATTGCCACTAACAAAGACAAGCATGCCGCCGATAGGACCAGAAGGCTGACAATCGACGGTGTTGATCTGGTGCTTGCACTGCTGGAAAGGCAGACTGGTAAGCTTAGCCACAATATGCTGAGCTCCTTGAATCTTCACCCCTTCGAAACTTAACATAGAACCTTCTTGGTACAGGTTCGCAAGCCCGGCCCGATTCGAATCGAAGGTGGAGTAGTAGTGCTCCACGAATGCCGTTGCAACTGCGTCTGGATTCATTGCCCCGATTTGAATTCGTAATTTGCTCTGTCCCTTCTTTGCCTCTTTCCTTAACGCAGGCCAGTCAAAACACTCCGTATTATTGGTGAGTAGCTGGAATAATACGCTACAGGAGGAGCCCAAAAGATAAGAATATTAACCACTGACAGGTCAAATAAACTTCCTTTTATTTGGTTTCCCATCTGGTTACCGTTTTTAGGTCTCCACTTAATTTTAGCTAGCGTTTGAATATTAGATTATCAAATTAGTTCTGAAAAATTTATTTGGGTGAAGTTTGATTTTAAAATGAAAATATATTTAAACATCAATTTTTAAAATATAATTTAAAAAAATATAAAATATGACTTATACACACAAGTTTTAAAAACTATTATAAATACCCAACAATATCATTATCAATAACATTCACTATATTATCACAAACCATAGTACTAAACATAAATAAATTTGATACAAAATTATTATTTTTATAATGAACTACATGATAACTATCAGGTGACCGAGAAGATGAAGCAATATTGTTACAAAATAATAAATTGTGGGCTCTTTTATAAAATACAAAAGTTTGGGGCAATTTTAAAAAAATATAATAGTAATATTTTGAGCTGATTTTGGTATTTGGGATTTGAAATTTTGCCAAAATGTAGGCAAAATCTATGACTAAACACATGTTTGCCAAATAAAACCCAAATTTATTTTGGCAAAATCTATGGCCAAACGGGTCCTTAAATTGTATCCGAAATTTAAGGCCTGTTTTGCAATAAAAAAGATTCATTTTTCGATTTTTTTTTTTACTTTTTTCGAAATGAGTGTTTGGTTATGATATTTTCGATTTTCACTTGAATATGAATTTCGAAATTTTTTAAAAATTTGAAAAACTCTAAAAAACTATTTTTCAAAATTTTCACTTCAGATCACTTACAAAAATTTAAAAATAGCCCAAAAATTATATTCATGTCCAAAAACAACTTTAATTTTCAAATAACATTTTCATTTGAAATTGTTTTTACTTTTTCCCGAAATTTTACAATTCTTATGTCCAAACGCCCACTTAAATTTATGAATTTGAAACATTTGATTAAGAATGAAGTATAATTCTCATCCATCATCTTTTGGCGATAAACGCATTTTCTCACTATGATTTTTGTAATTTGTAAAATTGTACAATTAGCGGTACTTTGAAAATGTAAGACCTCAATGTATGAATACTGATTGAAAACTAGATGTTTTTTTACTTTGAACTTTGTATTCCGACGGGAAGATTAATATGCAAAAACATGATTTAAAACTGATTCGCGCAGTTCTTAAACCTGCATACGGGCGAACTTGGGGTTAGCGCTCACACCGACTTTCCGGTAAGTCAAACGAAGTAAGAGTATGAATGTATGAGATCGAGACCGAAGTTGAGAACTCTTTAGATCGAGGCTGGAACGTGATACTCTCCATCGGGCCCGACGAGATAACATTCCCCGAACCCAGAACGAGTTCCGAGACCTCGGAAAGCACTATGAACGGTTGCACACGACTAACAGAAGGCCGTGATATCCGCACCCATCCGGAAATCACGACGCGGATCTCGCATGATGTCGGTAGTTTATCAATAATTGACGAGAAAGGACCATTTTTACCCTTTTTGGAATTATACTAGGGATGAAACTCTCCTACTATATAGAGGGGAAGTTTTTTACTCAATAGGGATACAATAACACGCATATCAAGGCAATACAAACTTATTTCTCTGCTTTCTAGTTATCGAAAAGTTCTTATTTTAATCATAGTTCTTCATATACATTTGGCTTCGAATCAAGGGTCCGATCGAAGATAAAACTATTATTCACCTTGAATACGAGCCCGACCTTAACGTCATAACTGGTTTGGCTATTCATTTTATGTTTAATACGTCTATCTAACATTCTTGATTTTTTGTATTTATTGAAGCAATCCACATATCCTTAAAATCGCGTATAAATTTAATTGTTATTCATTTTAAGGGTAAACAGTTTGGCGCCCACCGTGGGGATAAGGATAATAGTGGTGGTTTGATACAAATCTCCATAACACTATGTCACGACCCAATTTCCCCTCCGTTTGGGTATCGTGATGACACCTAGTCTTAGGGACTAGGTAAGCCTAACAATAATTGAAACAATAACATTATTTAAATAGAATCTCTTACAAATTCCCAAAACCGGTAGTACAAGTCATAAGCTTTACAAAGTTCTTTTTTGCTAGAAAGCCTCTAAATACAACTGTCCAGAAATAGGAATAAACAGTGCAAAACGAAAATTTGATGGTGACTCCGAAGCCTGCGAACGCAGCGACAGGTTTACCTTGAGTCTCCGTAGCGACAGTCCACACAGCTAGCTAACGAACAAATACCTGGATCTGCACAAAAATGTGCAGAAGAGTAGCATGAGCACACCACAGCGGTGCCCAATAAGTATCAAGACTAACCTCGGTGGAGTAGTGACGAGGAACAGTCAAGACACTCAATGGTCTAATTAACTAAACAGGTACAAGTATATGAGCAGCAGAAGTATGATGTCTACATAAAGACTATGCAATATGGCTCACAGTACAGTAATGACAATAAGGAAGGAAACAACAAGTGTCACCGAAATATCAATGAAAATGACACAGAAAAATAAATGGAACATAACCTAAATCTAGAATCACAAATACAGCAAGGGAAAGTAATGACTCAGCAACTACAACCGCTTTTACATCAGGTTTTAGTCAACAACTCCACGAGGTACCGAACCTCGGACAATTCATAACTCATGGGTCTCAATATCTGAACCCTAACACTTGGCATCTTGTGCCCTCATAACACCTCATAACTGCACTGACGACTCACATGCCAATAGAGTCATTCTCACATAGAAGGCAAGTAAACAAGGGTGGGCATCTATGCTCAACAATATCAAGAATACCTCTTATCCGATAAGAGTGCTTAACTATGTGTATGCTTGTGCAAGTGTCCTACCATAGTCCATATTAGCAAATAAGCATAAGGAAAAAGAACGGACAACACATAGAATATTTTCTCACAGCTTTCACAAGATAAAGCTCATACTGGTATGTATGCCACTTCACAAATATCAACAACAAGAATGCCCCCATGCCATAAATCATCACAAATCAATCACTAACACAGCCTACTTTGTCTCGCCACGTGTGCAATAGTAACATAAATGCCCGCCTTGTCTCGCCACACGTGCATAATAATGTTCCCGCCTTGTCTCGCCACATGCGCAACCCATATATATATATATATATACATATCCCGCCTTGTCACACCGCATGTGCAAATATCAATAGTAATAATAGCACGACAGAAACCTCGTGCAACCCCATAATAACAACCGCATGGCAGAAAACCTCGTGCATTACAATAATAACAACCGCACAGCAGAAACCTCATGCATCACAATAACCACAACCGCACGACAGAAACCTCGTGCATCACCACAACAAGTACAACAACAACAATGACAATAATACAAAGTACGACAAGTAAATCAACTCAAGAACTTTAATTCACAAAGAAATAGTAGAACCAATTCACAAGGAATAACAACAGTAAATGATGTCAGGCGTAAAGAGAACAACTCAACAAGGAAAAACTAATATGTAGCAACGATCCCACAATATACATTTCAACAATAGGGAATCTAACACGAGTCAAATAATTTCCAAATAAAACAACTCGACTAAGATATAGGATTTCTAAAACTTCTTTTAAGATTGAGGAATTTCGAAGGATATTCAACAATTCAATTAAGGATAAGCAGCAGAAAGATAATCATAACCTCAATTAAGACTGAACAAATTATAGGATGAGATAATAATAATTTTTAAATAAAGATAAGCATTATGAAAAGATAGCATGACAATAGAGGAGGTAAAATCTTCAGTTAAGTCAAATAAGAGTCAAATAGGCAATAAAAATGAATCCTGAAAGCAATTAATTCTAATTAAAGCATGTAGAGGTGAAACTAGTAAATAGAAACTTAATCATATCAAGAACAACTTCATACTCAGTGAATATAAGGACCTAAGAACCCAAAAAGGCCAACTTTCCACAAATAAGTCCGAGCACGTACTCGTCACCTCACGTACATGGACTACAATCAACATAGAAGACTCAAATCCTAAGGGGGAATCCCCCCCCCACAAGGTTAGGCAAGATACTTACCTCGAACCAAGATCAATCAATCGGTCACAATGCCTTTCCCACGAATATCCGACTCCGAATGACCCAAATCTAGCCAAAACAATTACATATCATAAATACAACTATATTAGGCTAATCAAATTAATGAAATCAAGATTAAGGTAAAAATTTCGAAATCCATCCTAAAAAGTCGACCCGGGCCCACATCTCGAAATCGGGTAAAAACCAAAAAATACGAACACACATTCACTCACGAGTCCAACCATATAAGAATTACTCAAATCCGACCACAAATCCCCTTTCAAAACTCGAAATCTTTATTGAAGAAGTTCTTCTAATTTTCCCAATTTCAACCTAAAAAATCTGAAATTAAATGGAGAAAACAATTATAGATTAATGGAATACAACCAAAAACAAGTTAGGAATCATTACCCTAAAGCTTCCTCTGAAAATCCCTCGAAAATGCTCTCAAAAATCGCCCTACACCAATTTTGCAAAGTCCAAAATGACAAAAATCACGAAGCCCTTTGGTTTTGAATACTGCCCAGGCATTTCCGCCCCTGCGGAGCCTGGGCTCGCACCTGCGCGTGCGCTTGTGCGAACAAAATGAGTGCTTCTGCACAAATCACTTGCCCCCTCTGCCTCCGCACCTGCGATGAAAGGGTCGCACCTGCGCGTGCGCGCCTGCGAAAATCCATTCCGCTTCTGCGGACCTTGCGCACCTGCGATGTCCATTGCGCTTTTGCGTGGTCGCACCTGCGAGCCAAGTTCCGCAGGTGCGATTGCACCAGAAGGCAGAAACTTCAGATTTCCTTCTAAGTTTGAATTTGATCCGTTAACCATTCGAAACTCACCCGAGGCCCCCAGGACCTCGACCAACATACCAACCAAATCCTAAAATACCATACGAACTTAGTCGAGCCTTCAAACCACATCAAACAATGCTAAAATCATGAATG